GAAAAGATAGTCCAACATCTTGACCCACACTGATCAAAGATCTTAGGCTCCCTGACCGTACATGATTTCATGTCTTAGGTATACATGACGGTGTACAGTTAGCTGAACCAGTTAATGAGGGTAATGCTTTGATAGGATTATTTTTTTTATATTTATTTAAAAGACATGCATAGTACATAAAAGTAAACGACAAATTACATAGCGAAAACAGTGGTAAAAAAATAAAAAAAGGGAATCAATACACACCTCAATTACAACAATAAGTCTTACAATATATATTGCAATAATTACTGCTTAGTACATTGTTACTCTTTCCCAATTAATGTTTCATCTGAAAGGACACACATCTGCTAAGTAAACCATGACATTCCATCCTTGGAGTAATGACATTATGCCTGGAACACTAAAATCTAACCCTAAAGCCCCCTTGGCAGGTACATCTAGTCTTATTGTACATCCTTGCCACGGAAGTTACACCTTACATCCTGAAAACACTACCCCCCCCCCTTTTTTTTCGCGTCATAGCCCCCTGACAGGTAACAATCTCATATTTACTCTATATTGTATGAAATGCTTGATTATTCCCTACTGAACAACATGCTACGTTTTTTCCCCCAGGGTTAATAACTCAATATATTGAGATAATATAACAATCAATTTCTACATGATTAATGTCAACTGTATCGACTAGACACCCAAAACATATCACTTTCTAAATGTATACATTGAAGCATACATTTACAACACAACCAGTAAACACAAACAAAAATTAATCCCTATGTTCATCCATCAAATACCATACAATATTGTCAAACTCAACGGTGACCTAAAACCTACGGGCTCTGTTAGAGCTCCCATGAAAAAACAATATGAATAATAAAGACATGGACGAGTCAAGGTTTTCTAAAAAATATTTAAACATTTTCATTAAAAAACCACTATAAGATGTAAGTCTTTTTTACATAATACATAACCGTGCATGACCTTCACACTTCGATTAAATACGGATGCCTTCCTACCACATCATACCTCATGTTTATATTGTAGATTTCGCTTTCACCACAGTGCACCCACATTGGCATTACATTACACACATCCCCAATATTTTTGTTTCATATATTAATATACCATCACATTACGACATTTGTCGCCTTTGTCAATTGCATAATATAATTAATTGAAAAACTTGTATCGTTACAACACACCACCCGTCATCACAACAGGTCAAAGGACTTATGGTTCAGTACTATATTCATTCTCTTCACCTAATTCCTTTCCACTGTCTTTCGGGAAGCCAGCCCGCCGCAACCCCTTCATTGCACGTAAACCCTAAAGACCTCAACCTAAAACCCGCTAACCTCAGTAAAAGCAGTCTCCCATCTCCTCCGGTAAATTTCCCTATTACTACATTAGTTCTGTAAAATCGTCACAGCGAACACCTATATCCTCTCATCCACGCCCACTCCCTCATGGCCCATGGGACGTTTAAATAAAATCCGTGACCAAATACGCCACTGCATTTCCCCATCTTTACTCACCCCCCCTATATCCAAAACTTTAAAGCCGAACACCTGAACCCTTCCCACCCACTAACCCAAAAACACCTTTCCTAACAGACCCGCACAACGTTATACAGTACAAAAATATTCAGCATGAAAAATTGTCACCATGCTTCCACACGCTCTACATTCCCTCCCTCCCTAATCCTCCTATTGAATAGGACAACCCCAGATGCAAATCTCATGTAAAAATCTAAACATTACCTCCCGAACACCCTGTTTTTACAACGTAATTGTTTTAGACCGTCCATATTTCGTTCCACGCATACATAGGGTATGGCTCCTCAACAGCTACCACCACTGACCTAACTTCCACTCCTTCGAGGACCCGCAATTTAACACACGAACGATCCCTCCTGACATTAAATAACTCAATATGCCTCACCAACTATTTAAATCCCTACCCCCCCCACCACCGTTGCATATCCTTACGTACTCTCACAATGTCCCACCCTCCCCTAACGCCCCCCTCCCTATATAACTTCGTTTTAAGTACACCTCATCATCCTTTTTTTCCAGCGGTAAAAGTCCCAGCCCTCCTCGACTGACCGGAAGTTTAACACCCCGCACTACTTAACCATTTGCGAGCCCGATCCCGAATATAAACCTAAAAACCCATGTTGTAAAACGTTTCACCTCACGTCACATCATCGGCACATGAAAACAGCATGCCATATCATGCGTACAAATGCACCGTTCATCACTATTACTCTTTGATGCAGCGTTAGTTTGCGCCAGCCCTCAAACCACCAAGTCATTCAGTACACCATCCACCTATTCAACCCTCTTGAGCCCACCCGAGTATTTTCTCACATAAATATCCCACAATATCATTAGTTTGGATCCACCACCTCCACCCACCCCCTACCACTTCATCCCCATTTGTGTGCTATCCCTTGTCTAGAAACTTAGTCTTCGTCACAATAATTTTCATACCTTAAGCCTCCGCCAAACACATCCACCACCTTACCCACCCTAAGCAAGTCCCCTAATTACCTCTCACCAAAAACAGTCGTGTCCATCCACAAACCTAACAAAGTGAATAGAATAAAAAAAAAGAGTACCAGCCCCCCCCTCCCCCCGGTCAGTAAAACCCTCCCCACCTCCTGCAACACACTCCTAAATAAAAAAAAGAATGGCCCTATTAAAATAGTATCCAGTATACACGCAACAATATTTTTGTGATATGGCAGCCTTGGCGCAGTCCCCGTCGCATCTGTAATTTAACTTCCTAGCTCCCGTTAACCTTCACCCTCACTCGACGCCCCCAGAATAACAATAATTTTGCCCAAATATTATTTTCTTTCCCCAAAACCCATGCCAATGCATGAACCTCCATAATGCTTCCCTTTCTACACTAACATAAGCATCTCCTTCCAATCTAACCCAATACACCTCCATCACCCAACTCCCCCGTTTCTCTAAAATTCTCTGAATCACTCCATGCCCTTCATACATCGACCTCCTGGCACCCCATAAATGTCCCCCTATCAATTACCTTGCCTATTACCCTCTTGATTCTGTTCCCTAATATACTCGCAAACAACTTATAATTCCACACAAAGTGAAAGTGCCCGATAATCCCATTACCGTAGACTTCTTCCCTTCGGTACCAACACCACAACGGCACCTGTCCGTTGCTGCTCTCCCTTACCTCATACGCCTAAAGTAATGTTTAAACAGCCTTACTAAAAACCCTCAAACCCCCCAATTCTTACGTAGAAATCCATTGGCAGACTGTCCTGAACCCGTCGCCTTTCCCAAGCTCACTCCTGCAACGTCTGCCAAATCTCACACTCCGTAATCGGCCCATCTGAATGCCACCCGAACTTTGACCATCAAGCTCACACTGCACATACTCTTCCATATTCCCCCAATGCACTTCACTGAAGCCCACGCTTGCGTAATGATCTAAAACCAAAGTGTCCCACAAGCTCCACATACCCTCTGTCGTTTACCAATGCATGACCCGCTCTATACCCTTCCCATCCCTACATGTAACGTTTAACCCCATCATCCTCCATCTCACTCTCCTCCTTTCTCTGCTTCTTAACACGCAAGCCGAGGGAGGGCCGATCACCCCATAGCAACTTTCTTCCAATCCTCCCATTAAATTCCGCGGCACCAACAAACGCTCGTTTTGCAGTACCCTAATACTCTCCTTTAAACCCTCCAATGTCCTGCACGGGATAGCATGCTCCCTCCTCTTGCATAACAGTCACACAGCTGCCCTTCAAGATATCTTTAAACCATCTTTAACCTGATTATATTCCCACCACCTCCAAATAAAATATTCTCTGAAGCGATTTTTAGCCACTGAATCCCACCAATTTAACCATTTCCTCACCCCCGGCCCACATCCACCAACGCGTTCCCACAATGCGCAAAAGACAGACGACATTCCTCACCCTGCAAAAGCTTCACATTAACTTCCCAATAACCTTGGCCCCTTTCTAGGCAATCCCTCCCATTCTAGGTCCACCATTCACCTACTGTGATCCGAAAAAACCGCGTCCACCACACGCACACAGCTCCACTTTACTGTTTCTGGGCACATACAATCCGATCCAAGTTCTAGCCGCATGATCCACGTCTAACAAAAGTATTTCTACAACCCCACCCCTCCAACGCAATTAACCCTACTTCCCATTTAATAATATCCCCCAAAACCCCTGTGAACAATACCCTGCCCCTCTTAGTTCCACATCCTTACGCCTTAATCACACAATTCCAGTCACCACCAATTACAGCTAACACCCCGGCAAAGCACGCAAATAATATACTATGACAACCATCACAAATTATTCTTATACGCACATCTCCCCTCTCCAGGAAAAAAGAGAAAAAAAAGAAAGAAAAACCATACACACAACACCAAACTCATCTGTACCATACCCCACCACCCATCTACACAATCAAACCCTCCCCTCCCGCATCCTCACAATGCCTCACTACGAACGGGCTAGTTTTTCCCTACCAGGATGGCAACTTCCTCCTTTCACCCATTATCGCAAGTCTCCCATACAACATTAATACGCCATGTCCACCTTCAACTCATAACCTTGGTCTGTAGTTTGTTCCAGCACAGAAACACCCACATCAACACTATTGACGTACCAAATATCACTAAACCATACACACTTTCTCTTCTTAATCTCAATCCATTAATGTTCAATGTCATGCACTTGAAGCTTACAGATTGTGGTTTTTCCTACTTGACCCTGTTACTGTCTTGCCACTCCAGAACGTTTCGTACACCTCGGTCCCCTCTCCCCCCCTTTAGAAACGCTCTAACCAACTCCGCCCCCTTAGGGCCGCTGTGTCCTCTCTGCTAACTTCCGCCCCGGAACTTTTTTGCCAGTGCGCTGAGCAGGCGTGTTCACATCCTCGGTGTCAGATAGCGCAGCAGCACGCTTCCGTGATGCTCCCACTGCTTGCATCATGTCGTCTGTTACATTGTCCCGGTGGGACCTCCACCTCCACCGCTTGAATCAAAATATTCTTATCACACTTCGTCATACCGCAGATCACTGTTCCACCCCTGATCCAACAGCAGACCCAAGAACTAGGTCAGGACTCCTAAAAAAAAAAAATAAAAAAAACCTTCCCAATACTCTTGTCATCCAATAACTCATTAAAGCCATGGCTAATGAGTCTTCCACAACGCTATCCTCGCAGTCGGGGTTGTATCTCTTCCGACGACCTGGCTGCGTTCAATGAATGGGGTTTCCCCCCCCTCGTCACACCTGCTGACTCCATCTCCTCCGCTCCTCACGACCTCCTCACTCCAGGACCCCACCTTGTGTAGGCAGAGTCACATAAGGCAAATCTTGCTCCTCACCCTTCTCTACTGCTGGTAGTGTCGTTGCCGTTTGTTCCAATGTTGCCACGCCTCCTTCCACACAGAGCCGATAGGTGACCCACACAACTGACATGGTCCGTCAGTTGCCCAGCATATGCATAAACACTGGGTCCGAATTCTGTCAGCACTACGAACGATGGAATAGGAGTAACTTAAACGTCATACTTCACAGAATACGATCCTTCGAGTTATCCCTGCAATGGCCCCATAGCCCACTTCCCCAACATTGGCCATATGTACTGTACCATATTTGCCCATCGCAAGGCGGATGTCAGAATCATCCGCCTCGAATGGCACATTTCTAATCTAACCCATGTGTAATGCGAGAAACTCGTGAAGTCGCACGTCCACAGCGGAGTTAACTGTCAAAGTAAACCTCCTGGCTCTTGTCTACCACCGCCTCAATAAACACGGTGCAAAATTAAACTTGACAAAGATCCACGTCAGTGCCAGTCATTGCTACTCACATATCTCCTCGTTAGCAAAACCAATATTATCTCGTATGATATGCAGGTATTAGCAGGTCCATAGAATTCCTGTCACAGCCCTCAAGGGATAAGCTCAACACAGACAGTGTTTTATGCGTCTCCGGCTGGTCCTGCTCCATGCTGTGAAAAATATAACTGCCACTAGACAACTGCCAGGGCATGCAAGCAGCGCCGTCCACACTACTCAAAGGTTGAGTGACGAAATGAGGTAGCTCGCCTGAAAACTGCAGAGGGTGCAGATGTGCACAACCGCCTCTACTAGGTCAGGCAGCGAATTTGTCTGTCGTTATTATTTTATCTGTTAATATAAGAAAATAACATGGTATTATCCGCTATTATCACTATTATCACTATTTTGTTATTATTATCACTATTATTTTACTATTTATAGTTAGGTAGGAATTATCTTTGTGTATATAGAGAATGAGGTTTAAGTCACGAACCATCCGGTTAATTGTTCAATAGTTTATTGTCCGTGCTGACTGACCGTTGGGGGTCAAGTGATCCAACCAGACGACCGCGTCACAGACTGGCAAGTTAGTCAGTCTGCTCCCTGCACTAGCCCTGACAAACTGAATCATATAAAGGCTCTTACGGTTACATTTGAATGGTTATGAGAATTGACTCAAGAGCTGAATCACTTGTTCACAATGCTTTGAAAGACTCTTTTGAATATTTATATTCTTGGTCAGTTCAGTAACATAGAGATACTATACGTCCATATTCAAAGTCCTATGTTAAATCTTGTAACATTTTTATATTTTGAGTTTACAGGTCTTGTTTAAGACAAAGACGTAAATTGTTATTGAAAGACTGAATTACAGTAAGAAAAAATAAACTTCCTTAATTAATGTGACATTTCCATGATTATTGAACTAAATGTATATGATAAAATTATTGTACAAAGTATTAAAGTTACAATAACTACAAAGAGAAATAAGGTATTGTATTTAAATACTTTTAATAAATTTGAATATTATTCTATGGAGTTTCCCAGTTGAAATAATTTCCCTAGACTACTAAAACTTTAAATAACTCGGATCCAAAAATCTTTTGCGTGCATAATTAATAAATGTTAACAGGCCACAATTCTGAAGTTCTTTAAAAAATTTCTTATCGCAAGCAATGGGGTAGCCCGTCCGGATCTCTTTTGTTCAAAGACATTGATCAATAGAACAATATTAAAGTTTAAATACTGGACTTTTATCTCAAAATTATTGATCATGTCAGATCACATTAAGAGTTATTTGAAGAATTAACATTGTCAAAGCTGGACTCCTTGAAACTTCGAAACGTGCTGGCTGATAGCCCGAAAATTAAATTTATTTAATTATTTATTTATTTATTTAATTATTTATTTAGTAATTTTAGCATACAAACAGAGTACAAAAAATTCGAGGTAGAGCAGCAAGCCAAAGCCACATATATGCATAGCATTACGGGCTGGCCTAAAATTAACTTAAGATATAACTAATCAAAGATGATATCAGTGATTAAAATTATTGTAAACAATAACTATAAAGCACAAAATGGAGTAATACAAAGACAGGTATATGGTAGCATGCATTGCTGTACAATTCAGTCCCGAATGGAGTATTCTGATAGGTAGTGTATTTAAAAAAATAACAAGTTAGATTGGGCCCTAGTAAAACATTTTTGTTGATAAATTGTGAGTAACAGGTAGGATAAACAATTTAAAGGTTCAGATAATACAGTATTTATTTCGATTTGATGAGAAAGTTATCTTTGAGAAAGAGACCTTGAATTTATAAACAGGTAGTGTTTCTTTTATAATTACAGTAATGAATATCCAGATTTTAGGGCCTTTTTTTATGTGCATTGAGTTTGTGGCATAGCGTGAGATGGACACGAGGAACATCAAGTAATGATCTGTGCCTTGTGTTTTATGTCATGTGTTCTGTTGAGGATGGCAAGGATAAGTTTTGAGGAGAGGTTAATATCAGAGTTAATGTTTCTATGTATGTAATGAGGTGCAGTAAAAAAGATGGATGTATTGTATGTGTGAGTAGGTTTAGTGTATAGGAATATTGGGTGGCGTGTGCGGCGCTGTAGTGAGAATTTGTTTATCATTCTAACTGCAGCCTTTTGTTGGTAAATTAGTGGTCAAGAGATGGTTAATTGTTGTTGAGCCCCATGCACAAATTCCATAGGTGAATAGGGTTACATAAGAGATTGATAAAGTGCCAGGAGGGCAGACTGTGGAGCAAAGAACCGTATCTCGATAGTATCCAACATCTTGGAAATTTTCTTAGAAATATGTGTATATGGTAGAAATCTGAGTCTATTATCAAGGTGGAATCCTAGAATTTCCCTCTGTTAGCTTTGTGATAGGTGATCCCGATTTATCATTATGTTAAGAGGTGACATCTTGTACTCTGTAACAAACTGAATGAATGAAGGTATGTCAATTTTTAGTGTAAGTATTGTAGACCTCATCCAGGTAGATATTTTCTGTAATTCGGTGATTTACATATGTGCTAGCGTGACTGGGCTCGGGTGAGAGAAGAAGTATGTATTAGACAATCTGCAAAAAGTGAGGGTTTGAGTAATTGCAAAGCATTTGGTAGGACATTTATCAATAGGAGAAAGAGAAAGAGTGCCAAGGACCACAACCCTGAGGGACACCAACTGTAATTGGTTGAGGCGAAGAGCTTGCCCGCAATTGCGTACACAAATTGGCTTCTGTTGCCAGAGGTATGACTTGAAGGTAGTAGAGGGAGTGCCCTCCTAATACCATAGTGTGACAATTTTTTACGTGGAAGCAGTCATGGACAACTGTATCAAAACTTTAGTATGTCAATGAAGATCCCCCAGTGGGACTTCTAATTTCATCTATTTCAGTGTATATATGATCCATTCAAGGATAGTAGGTTTGGTAGACAGCACCACCCAGGAAGTAACTACCGCCTGCCAGAATGACTGAGAAATCAAAAACCTGGTAACTGTATTTTGCAATGATGGTAGGATTGGCGAGGTTTCTTTTTCTGGTCTCTAAACACGCTAGATAACATGGATATCTTGCTACTCCTACTTACACTTTGGTCACACTTCCAGACACCAGCATCATATAAATATATACATACATCTAGGTTTTTCTCCTTTTCTTAAATAGCTCTTGTGTCTTTTTTATTTCTTCAATTGTCCCATGGTGAAGTGGTAAAGAATCTTTCCTCCGAAAGCCATGCGAGTCGTATGAGGCGACTAAAATGCCTGGAGCAATGGGCTAGTAACCCCTTCTACTGTATACATCACTAAAAAAGAGAAGAAGAAAAACTTTAAAAAACTTGGGATGCTTAAATTTTCATGGATAATATTGGATGACAATAAAATAGATTATTGGCTGATGGTTATGATGAAAATAAGTTGGATGTCCTGGCCCAAAGCGAAACAAAGCTGAATGGGGTAGGAGAGTTTCATGTGGGGAAATAAATGGTATTAAATCTGGAGAATCTGAGAGAGTAAGAGCAAAGAAGGGAACAGTAATGTAAATTGATCATTATGGAAGAGAAAAGATAAATATGAATGTGGTAAATTCAAGAAGTATTGGATTAAAGTGAAAGGTTGGATGCGAGAAGTGGTTCATAATAAGCGGTATGCACCTGGAGAAGAGATGGAATGCAGAGGAAGAGAGAGTTTTTGGGAGAATGTAAAGTGAATGTAAATAGTAGCCTTTGAACCAAGATGAAGAGAGTAATTGTGTAGGGGACTGAGGATGCTAAAAGTAGGAGAAACTTTTAGAGAGGGTGTGTAGGTAAGTTGGGGTGAGCCAGGTGTAAATGATAATGGGACCCTTTAGATTGAACTTTTTATAGAAAGGGGTTTAGTTATAGGCAATACATATGTTTAAGAAAAAGAGGTTAATAATTATACAAATATGATGTAGGGCGAAATGACAGTATTTATGTTGGATTATCGTTTGGTAGAATAAAAACTGTTTGAGAAGACTTCAGGATGTAACATGTTTAAAGAGGTGGCCCACAGATATATCAGATCACTTTCTAGTTGTAGCACACTGAGAGTAAAAGGTAGATGGGATAACAAGAGAATAGAAGCATCAGGGAAGAGAGAGGTGAAGGTTTATAAACTAAAAGATGAGTCAGTAGGGTAAGATATAAACAGCTATTGGAAGGATAGATGGGCAAATGAAGCATAGGCATGGGGTCGAAGAGGTATGGGTCGGGTTTAAAAAATGTAGTGT